CAATGATTTTTCTCGGGTAAAAAGGCGCACGCTCGGGTGGGTTTTGAGCAGAGGCTCTGCCAGATGGTGCGAAGCCCTAGGTGCGCTCACAGTGGAGCCCAGCCCGGCTCGGCCGCCGGAACCGAGGCCCGGCCGCCCGCGCAGCAGCTCGCCCGGCCCGGCCTCCACCGCCTGCCCAGCAGAAGCAGAAAAGGAGAAAAGGCCATTGGGGGAGGGGAAAGAGGCGGGGGCCTGGAGCGGCAAATTCTCCACCGAAACCTCAAGAAGGGGGAGGGTTGCGTCTCTCCAGTTCCCGCCCCCCACCCTGGAAATTACTGCCAACCTCTTCAGACACTTTGGACACTTTTCTCCACTTCCAAGCGGACAAAGCCCTTTCTGAGGACGCCCGGGGCTGTCCTCGTGGAAAGAGGGAAGGGTCCCTGCCAGCCTCTCACCCTTAGCCACACGCCCAACGGTCTCGCTCGGACCCACAGAAGTGGTAGGTGTCACAGCAGGCCAACAAGCCGCCTGGGGCGGCCAGGCGCATGGCCTCAGCGGGCACCAGCACTGTGAGAGAATGACTTGTCTTCCGATGGATCCCCGTATTTATATTTGATTTATTTTTTATTTTGTAGCACAAACAGAAATCCATAAACTGTCGGTTCAGCGCCATTGACTCTTTGATCAGTTACTGGGCTATTTCTTTCCTTTTCCCCCCATCTCTGTCAGTGAGTGGAGATTAAATGCCTTTATTTTCTGCACTGTTTATACCGCAGTGGTATAAGGCTAAATGAACAATAAAAGTGTACTTAAAAAGAATCCTCTCCTCCTCAATGCACAGCAAAGAAACTTAGCATTGCCTGCATAAACCTCCTAATTAGACTACGGTGATTTCCGAAAACATTCAGCCCTATATACAAAGGAAATAAAACCAGCTTGACAAATAGCAGCTGAATTTCAGAGGCTTCTCTGAATGAGTGAAATAATCACTGAAGGGCACCGCAGTGTCTTTGTCAGAAAACTGGGTTTTAGCTGTCAGATCAGTTTTACCCTAAGAGAAAACCACAGTTTTACCACTGCAGACATTAATATCTAACACCTGGGTTACCTAGGTAAGAACACACTTTTTTCAAGGGAAATGAAAGGCACAAACTAATTGCATTGAGAGAGTAGGAAGCATATATACTGGGCTCCAGGAAGCATCAAAAGGCTCTTTTTTACTTGGCTCACAATTCTTAAAGTTAGCATCAAAAATGAAGCAGCTACTTCCATTTGTAAGCATGATGTTCAGTTTACAAGTATATTCAAAATCAATCTGTGCCAAGTGAATTTAATTTACAAATTGCACATGTCCCCCAACATTCTAAGAAAATGGAAAAAATGCCTTTAAGAACAAAAACAACACACCATCCAGTACAAAACCAGCAGCCAGACACTGCACAATGTCAAAAAGCAACGGAGCGCTTTTCTTACACTTAATCACATTACTGATAGCCAATAGTTATCGTCGGAAAAGTTGACCAAGACAGGTTAAATAATTTAATAAGGAACTGCTTATAATTATGTTATTTACAAGGAATGACAGAGGGTGGGAGAGGGAGCAGAGCAGTGGACGGCTTGAGTGACCCCTGGAGCTCAGAGTTTGAATTATGGAGATGGGGGGCTGAGAGGTGAAGATGGGCTAGAGGAGAACAAGGTGACTTTTCACCTTAACACATTTAACTTTTAAATCTAAATAAACGTCTCCTGTTACTAGACCATCACACTGGAAAGAAGAAAAAAATGAACTAATCAAGCTGAACTCAATGGGCTTTGGAAAGGAGTTAGTTGCCTTTTGTTAGAAGAAAAAAAATCAATGAAATGATTCCAAGCAGAAAGAGAAACATTTAAAAATAAACAAGGAGGGACCTTGAAAATTTTCTGTCAAATATTAATTACCATAATTAATTAAGACAGAATTTGATTCCAATCACAAGTCGTTTAATAAAGAATATATGTACTGTTCTAATGACAACAAACTATTTTACCAATCGCTTCATTTATTCCAATAAATATGAAATTCTCATTAGCATGTCAAGGAAGCTAAATGAAAAACAAATACACAAGATCCATTTGTCAGTCTCCTCTCTCCCAACCCAAGAAAGACCCCAGCGCAACAGCAAAAAAAATGCGCGGAGAGGCATAAACTTTCTCACCTGTTTGGTCATTGAATCTATGAGGCGAACATACAGATCCTGCTCTGTTCTGACTCCTGCAAAAAAGAGACAAATTCTCAACAGGATTTTAGCGCTGCAACTAGGCAAGGACACAGAGGCCAAAGGAAATGGGCTTCAGAACTGCTGTCTCTGTGATACAGCAAACTTAGGCTACCCTTTCAAGAGGAAGAAGGAGAACCCCAATCATTTCTCACTTTATTTATTTTTCTTAAGAGCCTTAGGCCTCTTAGAGTTTGCATTTGAAGATGCATTTCTCCCCTTTTTTTTTCTTAAGAGGTTTAGGACTCTAATTGACATTGGAAGTTGCAAGAAATTTGCCTGTCTGAGAGCAGGCCTTCCTGCAGGGCTGGTGGGCCCAGGTAGTCATTTCTTTTTAGGGGAAAAAATGGAAACTGAGTGAGAGTTTGAACTCTTTCTAGTATGTCTCCAGGATGTTTTTAAAAACCGTGTGCAGAAAGTAAGTTACGTTCAGTTTGTGGAGCTACTCCCAACCCAATAATTAACATTAATTTGCAAAATTGAAAAAAGTCACTTAAAAGTGATGTTGTGTTGGAGTCTATATCGATCCCCTTTTTACTTTCTACTTCAAGCCCCACCGGTTAATCATGTGAAGTGCCATCGACTTATCGATCGTTTATGTTTTGTTTTCCTTCTATGCCATGAGAAGATTTCGTGTTTACATCCATGTCATTTTAATCTCAAAATCTTTACGTTCTGTAGCCCTCGCTGAAAGGGAGCGCCAGAGCGCAGGGGTGGAGAGGGCAGGAAGCAGGCGGTGGGTACTCACCGTTACTGTACAGTAGCTGGAGCTTATAATGGATGCCGTTGTTGGTTTTCTCGTTGTTTGGCTCCTGAAAGCAACGATAAATAATTGCATTTAGAGTAGTGGTGTCAGGCGTGGCCACCGCACTCGGTCCCCCTCCACGACCGAGGCCCCTCGGCCTCACACACGGCGGGCAGGATTCCTTGGTCGGAGCAGTGCAGTGATGTCACTTTCCTGCTGGAAGCCTAGCGTTCTCCTCGCCCCGAGTGAATCCGCGGGCGCAGAGAAGTTGCCCGGCCCTCGGCGGGGCCCGGGTGACCGCACGTGTCAGCGGCGGCGGGGTCGCCTGGCAGAGCGGTCCCGCCGCCGAGGGGGCACTCCAAGCCCCGCGCGCGGGGACAGCCTGCCTCCCATTTCTAGAGAGAGGGAGGGTGTGATTAGGTGTGCACTTACTTTCTCTTTCTCCACAAAGTCCACAAAAGCGGTCCTTTCAATCTCCACCGGCTGCCCCTGCCTGTCGTAGAGCGCCAGCACGAAGTGGAAGAAATTGGATTTCCGGAGGTTGGAAGGTGGCTGCTTCTCGAAGTGTGCCCGCGCCAGCCCCACGCCACTGCGGGAGGAAAGAGACAGCGGCCCGGTGAGGAGCGTGGCGCCGGCTGGCCGCGGGGGCCGGGCCGGGTCGGGGCCGGGGCGCGCGGGGGCGGCCGGTACGTACCTCTGGGCTGCCGTGTTGGCGTCCACCACACCCGCCGTGTGCATCCAGGAGCGCACCGGGTTCATGCCGCTGCCCAGCGGCTCCTCCTTCATGGTCGTCCCCCCGCGCGGAATATTCTCCTGAATCCCAAACATGAAAACTGCTGGCGGCGGCCGCAGCTCCCGGCCGAAAGCGCTTCCTCGCCCTGCTCGGAGCCTGCGGTCCGGCCCGCCGCCGGCTTCAGCCCGTCCCGGGCAGGCGCGACATACACCAGCGGCCGGGCGCTCCGGGCAGCCGGGGGCGCGGAGATGGCGACACCGGCTGCGGCGGCGCGGCGCTTCGGCGGAGCAGGACCGGTAGCCGCGGCGGCGTTGTTGTTGTTGTTGTTTGCAGGCGCGCTCAACGTGGTGTCATCCTAGCCAGGCGGCGTCCGCGGCTGCAGGACACTGCGGGATCGCCCGCTTCTGGCGCGGCCCGCCTGCTCCAAAGACAAATAAACGGGGCAGTGAGTGCCTCGGCGCAGTCCCGGGCGCAGGCGGGGCGCGGCGGGGCCTGGAGCGGCGCGCGCAGCGGACGGAGGCGCACAAAACTCAGCCCTCTCTCCCCGAGGAATGGACCCTTTCCCGGGAGCCAAAACTCGAAGCCCCCGGGAGCGGCGCTGTCAGAGGGTGACGTCGGGGGGCGGCGCCTGCGCCATATATGGGAGCGGCCGCCCCTCGCCGCGCCCCTCGCCGCTGCCGCGCTCGCCGACTGACTGCCTGACGGCGCCGCGAGCCGGCCCGAGCCCCGCGAGCCCTGCGAGCCCCGCCACCGCCGAGCGCCGCCGCTGCCTCCGCCTCTCCCGGCCACGCGCCGCGGCTCCTCAAGCCCAGCCTCAGCCAAGGAAGTTACTACTCGCCCAAATAAATCTTGAGAAGAATCAAACGTAGCCTGTACACAATTGCAGTTTGGCCCCTAACACATCCCCGTAAAACCTGCCACACAGTCAAAAAACACTGGGCTCAGACGGGGGTGCGCGCGCGCGAGGCGCCCCTGAGTAGCCCAAATGCGTGGAATAAATGCAAAGGGCTGCAACTCACCCTGGGGTGTCCCAGAGGGAAAACTGGAAAGTATCTGGTCTAGCGCTGAAGGGGACTACTCGGGTGGGGCAGACGACGAACTGGGAGGAGTGGGTAGGTGTCTGGGGCTCCCCTGCCAACGCGAGCTGCGCGGGTCAGCCTGATTTCTAAGCAGACCTAAGGCTGCTGTGGAGCTAGTCTGCCCCAATCTGAGCCCTGCCGGGCTCTCCAAGCTTCCTACCCTGGCGGAGGCCGCCGAGGGCTGGGCCGGGGATCCACGTCGGAGGCAGGTTCTGCCAGATGCTGCCTCTCGCCCGGTGGCCGCGGAGTCTCCGGTCTCCGGGTTCTCCTTTGGCGCGGCGAGTCACAAAGGCGGCTCAGGCCTCTGGGCCGACGGGAAGAGCGTTTGGCCACCCCGGCGACCCAGAGGTAGTGTCCGGCTATGAGACCTGCGAGGTAGCCAGACCTCCCTGGCGCCAACCGGTTTAAAAGCTGAGCGGACGCCGCAGGCGCGGGTGCCCTGCCCTCGGAGTCGCGTGGTCCCGAGAGAGCTCGCGACGCGAGGCTTCTCGACCTGGTTTTGAGGAATCGGTGGGGTAGCCGGGTTCCGGCAACGCGTTGGCCCCGCGGCCCAGTTCCTGCGGCTGGGACTCAGGCACCCAGGCGCGCAGCCAGCCCAAAAGATGTCTGTGCGATGCGAAGCAGAGACCCAAGGGACGACCAGGAGCTAGCTGACCCAGGCACTTTCCTGCCGAGAGAAACCAGGTCCTTCTGATTTAAAAAAATAAAACAAAAAATTTTAAAAGGTTTTAGGGCACAAGTGTCGCAGAGCAGCCTTTTCCCGCTGGGCCTGGGGAAGCACTCCCCTTTTTTGTGAATTGGCAGCATGTGTACGTTAATATTTTAATTAATCGGGAAAATCGAAGTCCGATTTACATTATCTGGGGACCCCCACATGCCTCTTGGAAGGGGTGAGAGAAAAGATGTGCTAGAAAGCAATCTATTTTGCTGGTGTTGGGGGTTAATGACTATTGCCAAAGATAAGTGAATTATCAAAGCTGTTGCGCCAGTCCCATCTCAAAATCCATTACGGGGCTGGCCGTCTAATTAAATACGTAAGTATAATAAAATCATATTTTATGACTATTTGAGGGTAATGAGATTAGTCTTTAGAAGCGATCGCCACATATTAAAGATGCCACTGTCTATAGAATGTTAATAACCTTAAATCAAAGTGTATGGAAACTATTCATGATAAATTAAAAGAAAATTTCTGTATTCCTAATAAGCCCAGGCTTTCCACTCACACCATTCCCGTGTTGAGCAGGGAACACTTTCTCTGTGGAGAAACAACACAGAATAAAGTTGGCCATCAGTGGAAGGTGCGATTGAGAAATGCTTTGTCTCTGCATGTTTAGAAGCTTCAGGGCTCACACAGGGCCAGCGGCCCACGAGTGTTATTGTCAGAATATGCAAAGTGCCTTTTAGGGAAAGATGAAATTGGAAATAGGAAACAAAGCCTCTTTTGTAGCACACTTCCTAAAATGTCCAGTCTGGGTTGGAGATGCCCCTTCCTCGGGCTAAGGAAAGTATCATGCTTAAAATCATTTACAGTATCTTTAATTCAGATTACACGCGCCAGAGCGATTTAAATCTGATTACCAAATTAGAAGGTTTAAAAACAAATCCTTCTAAATCTGATACTGTTGACTAAAGAGGGGGAAAAAAAGTTCTATAAGCCCATCACATAAGGTAGCGATCCTGCCCCAGAAAGAAAGGGGGTTTTAAACCTTTTTGACAACAAATGCAGCTGCCCCACTATTTTGGACGATATTAAGCGAAAATGAATGCAAATCTGTGTTCAGCAGCCATCTGGCCCGAAATGGGGGAATCAGCTGCTCTCACAACAGGCTCGGAGGCTGAATCCATTTCAGCTCATTTTCTAGATCATCTGGTCCCGCACCCAAAGCGTGGAAAATACGGTCTTTATCATTCACCAACTTTATCTTTTTTGTCACTCCACTGCTGCCTCCGATCTGTGGGCACAAGGACTCTTCGGCCAGGCTGAGTCTGCGGACTGGCCTGCTGCAGAGGGGCCTAGAAGGCAGCCCCCAGCCCCCATACCACTCCCAGATTTTCTACTTGATAGGGAGCTAGGTAGAGTGTACCCAAACCGGAATTGGGGGAGGGGTCTGCCGGTCAAATCCTTAGTGCCCTTAAAGATGCTGGGAGCAGGTCCCCGAGACTGCCAACTGTCAGAGTAGCCGCGCCCCCGGCTCTCCCCCTTTCTGGGGAACGTTGGGAGCCAGAAACCCTGGAGCGGGGAGCAGAGAGGGGAATTGGCTGGTACTCTGGAAGTTGTTCAGGCCGGCCGCAGCCGGCAAACTAACCTGGGCACCCTGAGCGCTCCCAGGGGCCAGACGGGTGTCCACGGGCCGGGCCGGGTGGAGCCTGACCTTTGTTGGAGACCCTGCGGGCCACGACGGCGACGGCGACCGCTTCGGGCCCCGCGCCCAACGCGATTTGCACGGGTGGCCCTCGCACTGCCGCCGCCGCCGCCTCCTAGGAGGGTGGGAAGTATTCCTTTTGTGCGGATTTACGGGGAGAGGCTTCAATGAGCCCCCTCACATTTGCATTTAAATAGCGGCATCAAGCGCTTCGCGTGCCACACACCAGTGGGCTCCCAGATGTCAAGCCGGAGTCAGTCAGATGGCCAGTGCCCAGCTGTCCTCCCCACGTCGTGCCGGAGCATGCAGTGACCTTAAAGAGACAGTGCCCGTCGCCCCTGGCGCCCGGCTGCGGGAGTAGCGTGCGAAGCTCAGGGCACATTGCTGAGGCAATGTTTGAGTTACTGCCGCGCGGCACCACCCAAAGCCCCATAAAGCGGTCCAACCTTCCAAGGACCGCAAGGAGGCCCATCCGACCTCCCTGCCCAGTCACCCAAGATCCTGTGCCCCGGTGGTCGCAAGCACCTGGGCTTTCTGCCCTGCCCACTCGCCGAAGGAGGGCTGTTCAGTGCTTGCCAGGAGTGCATCTACCCCCACCTCCAGCTCGCGCGTGTACACACCCACACACACATAGCCCTCTTCAGCTCTAGGCCCTCCAGTCCTGTGTGGTACTAAGCCCAGACACAAGGACCTGGGCTGATGTCGGCCTCTGAGTCCCCTACCAGAAACTTGGGCCAAGTTGGGGTCCCAAGACGCAAGGCCTGCCGCAGAGCCGCCCGTGTCCAGGACACACAGAGCAAGCCCCTTTCTTGCGGCAGAAGCTAGTGCGCAGGCTAACCTCCTTTCCATTCTCCCAAAAAGTAATAAACTTCATTTCTAACGTGGAGAAGCCCCAGCCGGAAGTTTCCTGGAAGTGGTGCCCCCCCCCACCGGAGTATCAGAGAATGCGCAATTCTGGCCAGGCATGGCATCCTCGGAGGGCCATGGCCACAGGCCCAGGCTGCCTGCCCATGTCACAGGAGCCTTCAGGAAAAGGTGGGTTAGTACACCAAAGCCCTGAGGTTTGTGTTAGGGCCGCCAGCGCTGTTACAGGCACGGCCCACCCCCATGTCCTCCTTGCCCCAGGGTCATGCTCAGACGGATTGGCCGCCAAGCCTTCAACCTTGTTCAGGCGCAGAGCACAAGCAGGGGTTGGGAAAAGATGCAGAAAAGATAAAGTCGGACTGACTCTAAGTCCCGGGGAGGTCGGAGGAGTTGGGGGACAAGCGCCTAGAAAAATGCCAGGAGCTGTGGAATAGGGAGGAACCGCCACACACTGGTAAGCTCTGTATCCACTAGTAGAAAAAGTGGCCCGGAATGAGCCCCAGTGGCTGTTTTGTGCAGTGAGGTCACAGTAGCCTGTAGGCCAGAGAGGAGGGAGACTCAAGGGCTCCATGCACAGCCACCCCAGACTTGAAATGAGCCTAAAGGGGAGATGGCCCAGGTTCCGGTGAGTTTTCCGAGCTCCAAGAACAAGCCTTTGCTCTTTCCGAGAGGAAACGGGAGGCCGCTGGGCTCTCAAGAGGCATCCGGTGACAGACAGACCCCAAACCAGGCCATACACCTTGCCTGCTCCTGAAGGCAAATAACTGGGCACCTGACTCCTGACATACAGTGTACCTCAACCGCCTCTCCCCTGTGCTAAAAGGCCAGAAGCCAAATGTGAGTTCATTGGTAATAAAGTGAAATCCAAAGGGTCACAGACTCCTGTTTTCTGCCCCCTCCAATATTTATTCAATATAGCTAAGGTTCTTGAAGCCCAAGCCCCCGACTACCAAAGAAAGCTCAGTTCTCCAAAGGAGAACTTGCAGATGCCTCCGGCCAAGGCAGCCAAGTTTGACAAACAGCGCCTCCTGGGGTGGGGAGAGTGGAGTGCCACTGCGCAGCCATGAGCCATCCCCAGACTCCCACCTTTCCCGGGCAGGTGGCCGCTCCTTCTTTTGCTGGACCCCAGGACCTTGGTCCTGGCTCCTGCGCGTACAGAGCTCTTAGGCCTTGAGAACCCATAACAACCCCAGGGGCAAGTAGAAACTGCCACACACAGCCTAGTCCTAATTGCCACCCACGTGCGTGTTTCCAAGAGTTAGAGCAGGGCACTCTGCACCAGGCCAGGGCGGTGAAAG